ATGCTATCAGCATCTCAAAACTCTCTTTAATTCTGAACTTGAATGAATATTAATAGGATTTTAAAACTTAATTAAAATAGAAATGGATCCACATAAAATATTAAATACCTAACGACACCCTAGAGAAGGTGCTGACACCTACACAGCATCCGCCTAGAAGAGTCCGTATCGGCATTTTAATTTTTAACCTTTAAAGTAATTTTGCTTAATGGTAAAATAACAGTCCTGGTCTCTAACTTCTGAATGCCGCACAATTTAATCCTCATATTTCCGACCTCTGCAATTTGTTTAGAAAAACTATGATTTCTTCCAATTAAATCTTTTTTATACAAAGAATAAAAATTATATAAAATAAGTAAAATCTTATAAAATTCATTCAAATATTAATAATAATATCAAAATAAAAATTATATATTAATATGTATATAGATTTAACTCATCGCATGCCAAGAGGTCAAACAATAAGAATTCAATAGTTTTCTAATATTTCTTCACGTTGGTGAAAAGTCTCAATCACTTAGATTTTCTTAATCATGAACTGGGAGAAAGAACCATATGAACGTTCAGTGATCATGTCTCTCTCAATTGCTTCTAGACCACTAGCTCAATATGGTGCTGGAATTTTGCTTTTATCGTGTCATCTATATATACCCAACATGGCATTCAAAACCAAATCAAAGTCCCTGCATTCTCTACTGGCAAACAGAAATCTTTCCTTTTATCTTCCGAGTGAGTTTTCATCTTCATACAAAAAAAAGCAAGACATGGCTATCCGGGTACCTGTTATCTTGCATGCTAAGCAAAATTTCTGCCATTCAAAACTGTTTGCGGACCAATCATCTTCAACAGCTAGCAGTGTTCCGAAGGGCTACTGCTTAGTTTATGTTGGAGAAGACCAAAAGAAGAGGTTCATAATTCCTATATCATTCTTGAATCAGCCTTCATTTCAAGAACTTCTAAGTAAGGCAGAGGAAGAATTCGGGTTCAATCACCCCATGGGTCGTCTCACCATTCCTTGCAGAGAAGACATCTTCATTGATCTCACTTCTCGCTTGAGTGGACTATGATTTGTGTAGACAGAACAATTAATAGACAGAAAATTTGGAAAATCAACAATGAAAATTTTTTTTTTCTTTTCTTTTGCCAAAAGAAAGATATGGGGAACTTTGCGCAACATCTTCCAGATGCTGTATTTACTTTATCTCTTTCTCTTATTACTCATCTCTATGCATTTGCTAACTTCTATTGGCTTCGTGGGACTCAGCAATACTGATCTGTTGCATTATACAGTCTTACAAGATAAGCCATTCTTGTGACTTGAGATCATTCTTGTGGGCATCAATCCATGCTCGGAAAAGCCATCTTATATATCGATTGAATATCCATCTTATCCTATTCTTTTTCTTCTCTCCAAATTCAACTAAACTTTTAACTCCATGTCTGAAGCACATTCCCATTCCAGAATTAGGTAAATTCTTCACCCTGGCCAATACTAAGTATTCATCTGTCCATTCCACCTTTAGCTTTTCATCCGTAGGCTTTTACCTTTTAAGTTGGTGGGCACTTTCTTCAATGACTCAATTTGATTTTTCATCCCCTAATGTTTTTGGACAAGCTGGAAGACAAAACCATGTGATACCATACCCTCTTGAGTTGTCATAACAACTTCCTCAAGCTAATTAGGTAGAATGCCTGCTGTAATCAACCCTCTGATCCATCCATTTGCTCTTCCTTTTGCCTCTCCTTTTGCCTCTTTATCTCTTGGACAAGTGCCAGGCTTACAAGTTACAACTCCATCCAACATTCGGCTAAAGTATATTCCTCAAAATATAAACTTCTTGTCTCAAGCATGTCCTAAATCAAAGGGTTCATCAGTTCTGCATCTACATCGAGTATAAATGCCATTAATTGTTCCTTTGCAATCTTTTTCTTTGTCTGGATTGCTTCCTTTAGAGGTTGCATGCCACATATAGTTTGTCAACAAAGCTATATTTTTCTTTGGCACATTTCAGCAAATATCTATCGGCATGAATTTTCATCTCCTAATCTCTGTTTAAAATTGGAAGACAACACATGTGATACGTACCCTCTTCAGCAATCTCCTCATCAGCAAACCCCAACAAATGTTTCATAGCCACTCATTTGTAAAATTGTGAGAATTTCCATCATCATCTTCCTTCTATAAATAAACCCACGTTTTTATCACAAAACCACAACCAATTCCAATTTAGTTCTCATTCCAATCCCCCGATCTTCTCTCAAGCACCCATCAAACAAAGCAATGACTATTAACTTGCCTGGTGTTGTCAGTGCTAAGAAAATCCTTTGTCCATCAGTGCCAACTACAAAAAAGAGAGCTTCAACATCAATTAATGTACCAAAAGGGTTTTTTGCAGTCTATGTTGGGGAATCCCAGAAGAAAAGATATGTGATTCCAGTAGCCTTCTTGAAGCAGCCCCTGTTTCAAGATTTGCTGAGTAGAGCTGAAGAAGAGTTTGGTTTTGGCCATCCAATGGGTGGGGTGACAATTCCATGTCATGAAGATGTCTTCCTTGATATTACTTCTAGGTTGAGTAGATCATAAGTGAGGAAATTCTGATATTTCAATGTAAATATTGCATTACACAAGTGGAAAAGTACAAAAAAATAAAATAGAATAACCTTTTCATGAACTAAATCTTAATCAAAATGATTAAATCAATTTAAATACTATGGAACAGATTGATCTTTGCTAATCTACTGAATGCAGGATTTGAAAATTCAGCCTTTGCTTTGGGTAAACAAACTCTGTGTTAGCCCCTGAACTTATTTCTTTGTCTCAATCGATCCCTCAAACTTACATTCTAGACCAGCTAAACCCATTTTAATACAAAAGGAGCTAGAGCTTGCGCCAAAGTTAACATTAACATGAAATGTCGCATAATTATCATCTCTATCAATGAATTATTCAATTAACTTAGGCTAAATGGTTGGACACGAAAAAATTCATAACCTTTCTAGTAAAACTCATATATAAAATTGCTTTTTTATGCTTAATATTATTATATGGAGACTAATTAACTAAAAAATTTTGAGATCTAAATTGAGAAGAGGAAATACTAGCTCCACAAGTGCCATGATTGCCCAAGTGCTTTTTTTTTTTTGAAAATTTTTATAAAAGAAAATAAAATATTGAGTACACATAACATTTTTTATTAAAAAAAATATATAAATCTACTTTTAATCTATATCAATTAGAGTAGATTTACCCTTAAATAAAAAGCAACGTAATTTAGTCTAAAATGGTTGGATTATGTTCTCTCCTTGGCATATAAATTAATGAAAAGATGACGGAGCGGATAGAATCCGTCCATTTTGGTCTGATTTGCTACATATTAATGGTCTAGGATAGATTTGCTACTATTTTCTGTTGAGGGGCAAATCTACTCCACCTAGAATTGTCTAGGGGTGCATTTACACATCTGACCGCCATTTTAAGGCACATTCATCCGGCGAAGGACCAAACTTGTTTTTAGCGATCATCATATCGACCTTGTTTCCCAGTTTCCCATGTCTGAAAACTTCAACTTTCTCTTTCAAACCTTTGATTCCATCTCTCAATTTCTAGATGATTGTTCTCGGACAAAGAATCTAAAAGCCACTAAAAGAATTCATGCTCACTTACTCAGAACTGGCTTATTATTCGCTTCTCTCAACATCCATGCTGAATTGTTCTTCACATACACCACATGCCTCAAGAAGAACAACCAAGAAACCTTAACCAAGTGCTTCAAATTCGTAAAATCCAAGGACCCTTTACTTTTTAATGTGATAATATCCAACTTTTGTCGAAATGGGTTTGCCTTTCCGGCGCTAAAGACTTTATCTTTCATGCACTTTAATGGTGTCGCTTTGGATACTTATGCTCTGTGTAGCTCCTTGAAAGCTTCGTCTGTGATGGGGAATGTTAAATTTGGTGAGCAGATACATACCCATGTGAGGAAATCAGGTTGGTTATCCAGTGTTTTTGTGGGTAGTGCTCTGATTGATTTGTATGCAAAATTTTTGCTGATAGATAATGCAGCAGTTGTGTTTGATGAAATTCCTGTTAAGAATACTGTTTGTGCAAATGCACTTTTGTCGGGTTATGGTGAGACTACGCAGTGGGTTGAGGGACTTGAATTAGTCAGGAAGATGCCTGGACTAAATTTGGATTATGATCATTTCACTTTATCAGCAATGTTACGTGCATGTGCAGGGCTATCTGCAATTGAATTGGGTAGGCAGGTTCATGCGTATCTAATTCGCAACGTTTATGATGTAGGAAGAGATATGTTTTTGCAGAGTGCACTGATTGAAACGTATGGGAAATGCGGCCTGGTAGCGAAGGCTTTTCAAGTTTTCAATTTGTTGGGGCTAAGCTTTGATGGACAGAGGAAGAGGGATGTTGTTTTGTGGACTTCAATGCTTGGTGTGTATGGTAGAAATGGGCACTTTAAAGAAGTGATTTTGTTGTACGAAGAGATGTTGAAGGAAAATATTAAACCAGATGAGGTTGCTTTTGTGACAGTTATCTCAGCTTGTGGTCATTCAGGTCAGGTGAAACTAGGGACTGAGTATTTTGAGTCCATGACTCGTGAATATAAGTTGGTTCCTGGGCCCGAGCACTATAGCTGTCTGGTTGGTTTGCTTTGTAGGACTGGCGAGTTGGATAAAGCATGGAAGGTGGTTAATGAGATGCTCCATAAAGGGCATGGCAATGGTAGTGTTTCCATGTGGGGTGCTGTGCTTACTGCTTGCCAGGATCATGGTAACATTGAGTTGGGTAAATTTGCTGCTAAGAAAGCACTTGAATTGGATCCCCAGAATGTTAGTATTTACGTTTTGCTGTCTAATTTGTATGCCAAGTATGGAATGTGGGATGAGATTGGCCTGTTAAGAGGGCTGATGAAACATGGAGGATTAAAGAAAGATGCTGGATGTAGTTGGATTGAGGTAACCGGCCGAGTTGAGCAGGAATTAACTCATAAGAGTGACATATTCTGACTTTGATTTCTATTTAATAGGAGGCTTCGCTTGGGGCTCAAAAGAATCATAGTTTGTTGACAACTTGGTAAGCTGCATCTGATGAAATGACAACTGCTGAAAGTGCAGAACCAAAGCTGTATAGAGTGTAAATGACAAATTGCATGGGGTTCACTGATATATGACTCTCAGGATCACACTGCCTGCTCATGTTATAAGCCTAGAAATGTTGAGTTGGAATGAAAATTTAAGAACTATGAAGCTGGACCTTCTCAAGGACTTGCACTGCTCGTCTTGCATGTGCTGGGTAGCATTACAAGGCCAATATCACGTCAGAATGATGTTCAGCAGCACTAGGGCCTTATATAGGCTTATTTTGTCATCTGCAGCTCTGTAACTTGCTTCCCTAATAATACCAGCATGGTGCTAATTCTTTTCTCTAGGGGAATAGCAATAGCTAGAAGGAACCAGAGCAGCCATGATGATCTAATACCCTGTACAGTGTACAGATTCATACTGCCAAGCTTATTAGTTAGCAAAATTTTCCCATCTAAAAGGCAAGTTCTTTGGCTTTCCGTAATCAAAGGCATGCTATCATCTTCCCCAATACTGATTCACAAAAGTAGCTTGGCTTTGTCCCTTCAAATTTTCCTTATTATATAGCAGTTTCTGTTAATTTCTTTCAAATCATATACCAAATGTCAAAACATCTGTAGTTATAGTTCCTCTGCTTTGTTTTGAAAGATCAAAATGTAAAGGAAAGATGTCTATTTTGAAGTATAATGTTTCTTTGTTCTTAACAGCACTGCCTACATCTTTAACTGTAGTATGTTAGCAAGCAGAATGAAGATCAGTCTAACGGTGCTGGAAGAAACCAACAAATAAAACTGATCCACGGAATCAAGAAAGGGACTTTTTAGTAATTCAACACATGTACGGGACCCTTCTATCATATGACATGTCATGTTCCCATTAGTTTATGTTATGGCAAATTAGGGTTACAGTCGCATGCAATAATTCATCAAACTCTAACGGCCTTCGAACCAGACCCTGCAATCTAGAGGAAAAAACCCGAATTTCCTTCGGATCTGACCTTGATTATTCGCAAGAAAGGAGTTTCTCCTTCAGGGCATGATCAATAGTTCATCGTCGAAAAAGCAAGGTCCGGATCAGTCAGAGATTACTGGGGCCGCCTTCAAATCACAACGCACCAAAATGGGCAAAATCGAAGACGGTGAAAAGAAGGTAACTTTGCATCTGAATTCAAATTTTAGCAATACCGCAATTCTTAAAAGCACCAAAATATCGTCCCCCACGAAACCAGAAAACTGTTATTTGGTATTTCAGGCAAGTTTTTTGGAACTCGGTTTTGAAGTTGCTCTGTTTCAGTTAGCTATTTGGTGTTTAATTAACATTGAAGCTAAAGTTGCCTTGAAATCTATTCTGGAAGTTTAACCATTAATTTGGTTATTGAAATGATATTGCCTGAAAACTCAAGACCTGATTTTGAACCCGGATTCACCATGAAGTATGTTTTTGAGTTGAATTACAGGAAGAATATTTGATTTTAGGTTTCCTAATGTATCATTGTTTGTGGTTCATGTCTAGAAGAGGCTCAAAGATGTTGAAATAAGTGTCCCTATTGTCTACGGCAATGCTGCATTTTGGCTTGGTAAAAAGGCAAGCGAGTAAGTATTGGATTAACAGTTGCTACTTCTGTTGCTTCTTTGATTTGCAGGTTAATTTATTAAATGTTTGTTTACAATTTTTTACTTCATATATATTAGGTACCAATCTCATAAATGGACAGTATATGTTCGTGGGGCAACAAATGAGGATCTTGGTGTGGTGATAAAACGTGCCGTGTTTCAGCTGCATTCAAGTTTCAATAACCCCACAAGAGTTGTGGAATCAGCACCATTTGAGTTATCAGAATCAGGATGGGGTGAATTTGAGATTGCCATTACACTTTATTTTCACAGTGATGTTTGTGAGAAGCCATTGAATATGTGAGTTATTTTTTCATGTTATTTGGTTCTGACTTATTTGTCCTGTCACCGAAATGGCATAAGTTTGATTTTGGCTCGCCAATGTTGTGTTAGGTATTCTTTTATTCCAAGCGTGTCACAGTTTAGGGTGGTTTAGACGAAATAATGAAAATTTATTGAATGTGAAACAACTTCTCTGTTTTATTTCCTATCCTGTATGGTCATTTGACAGGCAGTTAATAACTGACAGCATCTCAGATGCAGAGTTCTTGCTTTGTCAATTTCTCTGAAGCACAATTAGTACTTAGCTTTTTCATCATCTGCGACAACACACCTAATGTGGTTCTTTTGGTGAATTAAGTGTAGAAAATAAAGAAATTTCGTTTTATTAGAGTTACTCATGAAGCTCATGTTTTTTTTCTATGGTACCTATAGTTGGAAGGAAGTTGGTAATCAGTAGACATGTTCTAAATGCACAAATAAAATCTTTGTTCCTTATCTTTTCTTCTGTAACTAAAGATATTTATTGATGACTGGAGTATTCTGCCAGTAATATATGTTGAATAACATGGAATCTCTTCATCAAAATTCATTACACTGGTTCAATTGGTAAAAAAGACGAAATCTAAACAGGCTCTCAAGCAAAGACTGAACCATTATGTTAAAATTTACTTTGCAGATATCATCATTTGAAGTTATATCCAGAGGATGAATCAGGCTCCATGTCAACTAAGAAACCTGTTGTTGTGGAATTCTATGATGAAATTGTGTTCCCAGACCCTTCAGAGAATTTTTTAGCTCGTGTGCAGAATCATCCAGCAGTTACATTCCCCAGATTACCTGCTGGTTTTACTTTGCCTCCTCCTGGTATTTTTTTTTCCCTCTGCCATATTCTCTATAAAAAATTTTGCTCGGGATCACCCTTTGATGAAAAGCATGCTTTTAAATTGCTTTCAGTACCAATTGAAGATGAAAGTAAAAGAAAGAGAGGTGACACTAAAGACAGTCCTCTGAGCCAGTGGTTTATGAATTTCTCTGAAGCAGATGAGCTATTACAACTTGCGGCTGCTCGTCAGCAGGTAAGCAATAATGGCATGCATCTCATTTCACAGTTTGCCATCTGTGGTTAGTTCATAATATTTTTCCTTGGAATTTATTTATGTTTTCTGGTCATTCTTCTCACTGTAATGATAAGGTTTAACAAATTCAGAAGAGATAAGAATTCATTGAATTTATGAGAGACTCAACTGTATGATTTTGCACTGTCCCATAGCACGTGTTACATTGTCAACTCCTCATTTCATCTCATGATAAGGACATTTTCACTAATGTTATTAGTTTACCTTTTGAGATATGAAAGCATCTACTTCACTCAGTCAAAGTTCAGTTTAACTCTAGCTTGTTTGTTGACATCTTTTGACATGGATTCTTTCAGTATTATACCAAGCAAATATTTGACATTTATATTCTTATGGGTATTAGGTGCAAGCTCATATTGCAAAGCTCAGACGACAAATCAGTGTGATTGATGGGCAGAATCAACAGTTCAAATCTACCTCCGACCAGTGAATGCATATTGTTGCATCAAACTTTTGGAGATTTTACCTTCAAATTGTTTTGCAACGAAAGCACTGAATGACAGTTGTGCCATGATGACACGAGTCATCTCTTCTTCGCTTTTTAATTTTTCTTTCTTTCTTATGTGTTTCTTTTTATGGCACGTAGCCCTGTATCAGATAATAAAACTAAAAATGAAGCTGTATCATTTCATTAATAGAAAGGCAATTTAATCTTTTGGAAAAGACAATTTTCTGTCAAGTTGTTAAAACCTTAAAATATTCTTCAGATTCGATAACTGCATGTTGCCTGGGAGTGAAAGGAATGCATTTTGGTGGATGTTTTGAATCTTATGCAGTTACTTGCGAACTTGGGTTGCTAGAGACCAAGACTTCATGATTCAGCATATGCAAAAAGAGCCATGTCAGAGCAACTCGTTTGGCAGACTCCAGGACGGTACCTGATACCTAAATCACTTAATATGAAATGATCTTCCTCTTTCTATGTACAACTGCTTTAGTTTCTGTTTTCCTAGAACAGGAGATACATGGCTAGTGAAGATACTTCTTATAGTAACTGAGATTACTTCTTAAGGAATCCTCCCCCTGCACTTTGGTTTGTGATTTCTAGATTGCTTTATCCCCAAACATAACTGCCTAATTTTGACATAGTTGGATGTAACTTTTGAACCTGTATGATTTATGCCAATCTTTGCAGCGTCCATGGCCCCTTTCTAAAGTGTCCCTCAAAGGATTATGAAGCAGACATCAATGTAGCCAAGGGCCTTCTATGATACTTCCGATGATCTGTACTTGAATACGGATTGTAAATGGAAAATTGGGTCATCACCTCTTGCATTGGCATGGGTCCTGCATGAGTTGTCCACGTCATCTCAATATACTTCTCTTATCGTTCTCATCTTGGCTTTGCAAATACCAGGTACACTCCTTGTACAAATGTCTGGAACATGTAGATGTAGATAATATCATCTTATGCAGTTATTTTTTCAAGTGCCGTGATATCAGCTTGCATTTCTAGCAAGAGCTAATGGAAAATGACAAACTTGATTGAATTATGAGGTCTGCTAAAAGATTACAATAGGGTATTTTACTGTTTGTGTGATGGTTGGGTAAAGTAAGTCTTGAAGCCGTTTGAAGTAGTTGGAATGATCTCATAGCACAGGACCTTACTATGCTGTCTTTTACTGGAAGGTCTGGGAGCATGGGTAACATGGCCTCATGTGCCATACAAAAGGCAAGGTCGTTTTCAACCATTAAAGAAAAAATACCCTCAAAATTATATCCACGGCACAGGACAGCACAACATTTCGGTGGAAGAAATGGTAGGCCATTCTCGTCCTCTTTTTTTTTTTTGTTTTTTTTCCGTGCATTACTCCCTAACCAGTCTCATTCACAGAACATGCAAGAGCAGTAGTGTGAACCAAAGACGGCGACCTTCAAGGTAATTAAATTTGTTTTCTCTTTCTGTTCCTTATTTGTGCTGTCCATCACTTTTAATCTCAGCAGTGAATCATTTCTATAAATTTGATGATAAATTGAGAAGTGACTGGAACAAAAGGAGAACACAAAAGTTCAGGACATTTCAGTATTAGACATTAAAGTTACGCCTTAGAACATAGGGCCAAACTTAGAAGATATCAGCCATCAGGTGGCATAATATGTCTAAAAATATAACTCCATAAAATTTTTCCTTTCCAGTTGCGGTTGATAAAAAAAATAGTAGTTTCCCTAATTGGTGGTTGAGGTTCCATGCGGACCACATGGGAATATGTCATCTCTTTTTTTTTAGACTTTCTAGCAGCACAGCATGCTCTCTTGTGGATAATCAGATAAACATGAAACATAAGTACTAGCTTTTCTTATTAAGTTAATTATTGAGAATAAATGCTTGCATTGTTTGTTGAGAAAGCTAGAACCAGTTTATTAAGACGCATGCCTTGTCCAAAACCATAATATATGTCTGAACAAAGAATTTGAAACTTCATAATTGTTTAGTTTGACATACATACAGCAATAATTAATGCCATTATGACATGAGAGGACCTTTGAAGTGTGATTGACAACATTTCTACTTTGGATTGTTTCATATATGTGATATAAGAAACTACTCTATACCATGTTCAACCAGGGAACTAGAATACTAGTGGAGTCCTCTGACATTAAAGTTTTTTTTTTTTTTTAATGTTGGATTGGATTAGGCAAATCGAGAATATAAGGGTGTGCTTGAATGGGTGGATACTAGGCTTTAGCTAGTTTGTAATTCTAATGAACAAAGACCTAACTGGGCATGTTAAAACAATTGTAGCAGAGGTCAAAACCTGCAATGTTGCAGTAGAATACACATGGGTTTCTGAAAAAATTTGGGATTTTACTGTTTGAAAAATGTTGCTAATATTTCCCTCGGTCCACAGAATCACAATCTCTAACAAATAGAAAAATCCAAACCTCTCTAGAGTTGTACTCTCTAGTACACCTACTGGTCCGTGATTTCAGGTGGGTAAAGAAAAGAAAAAAAAAAAAACATTTCCAGTGTGCGACCCGAGTCTGTTCGAATTAATCGGGTGAAACTCTGGATATCGGATGGAAAATAAAAAAATAAAAAACACGAGACGCATCAGTGATACATAGAAAGGTTCAAATGTCTATAAATTGAAACCAGCTTTTAAGAAATGCTGAATACAGTTCTAAGAGATTCCTGTTTAGCCTCGCTTGTTCTTCTTCTGCTATTGAGGAATTGCTCTGTAAATTAGGCCAAGTATGCAGTATGCATCGGTGCGAATGATATAATAACATTATAGTTCCCCTCTTCCAACCCAACGTGCTTATATACTAACTCAAACTTAAGACCGCGCAAACTTAAGACTTGAGATTTTAACCCTTGGGATATTATAGAACTAAACGAGGTTAATTTAGTTTTGTTTAGGGGAGATAAATGTGAAAATTAGGGTATACAAAAAAGGGACACAATGTCTAGAGGAGGACCAACATGGAAAAGAAATCCGATGGGGTTTGGCTCCCACATTGTCCTTTGTACTGTTGCTACACATATCCCAAAACACCCGTGCCCTGTCCTTGCATTGGACCCACACACACATGACCCTTATTCCCCCTCTTTCACTCACCTTTCTTCATAAATACCCCCATTCTCCTCTCCATTGCCAATCGACACTTCAACCTCTGTTTTCCATACCCACCCCAGCTATCCCAGCTTCTTCCCCTGCTCAAAAATGGCGATCAGGAAATCATCCAAACTGCCCCAAACCGCAGTCCTCAAGCAGATTCTCAAGAGATGTTCGAGTCTGGGGAAGAAGCACGGCTATGACGAGGACAGCCTCCCACTCGACGTCCCCAAAGGCCACTTCGCTGTCTATGTCGGTGAAAACAGAACTAGATACATTGTCCCCATCTCCTTCTTGACCCACCCGGAGTTCCAGTGCCTGCTCAGGCAAGCTGAGGAAGAGTTTGGTTTCGATCACGATATGGGTCTCACCATACCTTGTGAAGAAGTCGTTTTTCGCACCCTAACATCCATGCTCAGGTAAAAAGTTGAAGTCTTTGGTGCCGCACTGTGAAGCAGGGGAAGTTTGCTTTTGAGAAGAAAGACATCACCACGAGATGCAACTGCTTCTCTTTTTTTAACATCTTTCTTTCTTGTACTCTTGATCCCTGTTTTTTCTTTACTTTATTCTATTTTTAACCCATTTGGGGTTTTTTATGTTTAGTCCTTAGTGGCTCTAACTAGGATACCCTGCAAAAATTTTCATTTTCTGGGATGGATTTGTAAAAAAAAAAAAAAATGCTTGATGTTTCCTCACAGATGAGTGAATTTTATTTGTAACATTTTGTGTGAGAGAAGTTGATGTCAAGGAAGCAATGGTAATTACTAATTAGCAACAAAAATCTTTCTTTCTATCTTTGTCTTGTCCATCTTTGATCCTTATTTCTTGTTAGATTTTAGGGTAAGACATGATCTTCATCTGTTAAATCAAATCAAGCAACATGGGATTGTCAGAGAATGTGGGGTACTTTGAGTTGTACGGATTGTTTTCAAGGTACCCAATACTGTAAGGAAATGGAAATACTGTTATTTTTGCTTCTTCTCTAATTTCTTCTCCTCCTTTTCCATGCATCTATAATGGCAGGAAATAAGTACTTAGAGGTGTATGGTTTCCATTTTGAAAGAACCGTTTGATTTGAGTTTCATGCCTCCATTTGGTAATGCTGTCTGAGCCACAAAATAGATCACGCACAAAATATCTAGTGAACTGAATCCATTGGATTCATGGGGTGCATTTTGCTTCTGCTTTTTCTGGGTTGGTGCATTTAAAGTGAAAACTGTAAATGTTGCTGCTGACTGCTTTCATCTTCCAACATCAATGCTCCCCTGCATGTGACATTTATTTTTTCGTCTAACCGATGTAAAAAAAAAAAAAAAAAAAAAAATCTTTTTTGTCATGAATTTGTTTACATGTGTCGAATTAAGTTCATCTTTACGATAAGAAACTGTTGTTAATAGTTTAGCATATTTATTGAAAAAGTTGTCAATAATTCAGTATGCATTTGTAAAAACAAATCTTGTGAAAAACTTTCATACATCTAGCATTCTTGAGAGAAATGCAGCAAGATATTAAAAGTTCAAACCTTGGAGAGAAACACATATTTTTTACTTAAATTTGAGGTCAAAATTCAATTGATAGTTTCCTGTTATTTAACTTATTCACATGTAATTCAACCCTTTCTTCTGCACTTATAGGGGAATGGGCTGCAGGTCTATTAGGTTTTATAGAAGTGCCTCCTGTTTGGGCATGGCAGTCCAGAATCCTGGATTTTCAGAATAACAGCCTGACAATATTTCCCCTCCTTTTTCAGTTCTGCGGAAACTGTAAAGCTAACATGCTTTTAGAACCTGGAACAGAGGGAAAGCTAGGGAAATAACCAACCACAAATTGCAAATTGCATAGACAAGTTCCCAACCTTTGTCTGATTGGTTAGATTTTTTTTTTTTTTTTGAACATAGAGAAATTGAGGGAATGGTGATATTTTTTAAATAATTGATGAGATTAAAACTCCTAACTAATGGAATCCAAACATTTAGATTTGAGAATGAACTACTAAATTTAATGGGTTGATTCTTTGTCTATTTGGTTAAATAATCAATTTTATTAGGAAAGTTTTCATTAAAAAAGTGATTAAAAAAATATTTTATAGAAAGTTGATAATGCTATATGAAAAGTTGATATATTTTATAGTGAAATCTTATTAAAATTTTGTTAAATTATTAATTTTGTTATGTTTGATAAGAAATTGATATAATGAAAAAATAAAAAAAAATGGTAAAGAAAACTCAATATACAGATAGTTATAATAAAAAAAAAACATTTTTGTTTTAAAATAGATGAAAAAAATTTTACAAGTTCAAAATTGTGTAAGAAAAATAGATATTGAATATATCACTTTTATACTCTTAAAATATATTAATTCTTATGTTATATATTTTAAATATAAATCTTATATAAACGTACCAAAATTTGAGAAATAAGATAATTATCCATGTTGCATCGAGCCTTTCGGGTCAAGTGACAATAACCACTCATGATGCATTCCCCCCTCCCACAAGACTGAGGTTTGAACCCAACCCATTGTAAAATCTGTTAAAAAAAAAGATAATTATCCCTGTTATGGTACAGCTCGCAATGTACCAAATAAAGTAGGTCCCCTCTCGCTAATAGAAATTGTACTTTTGGAGGCAAGGGCGCTCTCTAGTCTCTACATCATGATCAAAACTTTGATAATGCATCTACAGGACTAAATGTGAACCTTTTCTAGTCAGTACTAAATGCTTCTTCACATTACAGGACCCAAAAAAGAGGAGCAAAGGCTACCTCTGGTTTTAACTGGTCCCATCTTTTCTTTAATGCATCCTTTCCTCTTTTCTTTCCAGCCACAGAAGTCCCTTCAACAGCCCTATCCCAAAATTATAACTACCCCAAACTCCCCTTACGCTTGAGAGATTATGTACATGTATATTCATTTAGAGAAGGAGATTTGGTGTAAAAGAATGCATTTTATTAATTGAGTTATAAGTAAAGTGTTTGAGAAAATTTTCTCAAGAAAATAGAAGGAAAAATAAAAATATCTTACATCACTGCTCTCTGTCTTCTTTCCTAATTGCCCTTGTTCTCCTTCTCTTTGGTGGTGCTGAGTCTTTATTTAATTACAGTTAAAAAAGTTTCCCGCATGATGATTCTAATTTTATGTTTCTTTTTAATTAAGTTTTACGTATAAGTTTTACATCAAATCATAATTATTTATTTTTTACCATAAGTGATTGATATCATAAGTTGTTAGATGAAAATATTATTAATTTTAAGAAAAAAAAAGATAATAAATAAATAAATCTTAATTTTCATAATGAAAATATCAATTACCAAAATTTTATATAAAAATCATGTGTATAAATTATTCTTAATAAAAATACATAAAAACTTAAAGTCTACAATTAATATGTATATATCTTGTTTGATGATTTAGTAAGATATTTCTGGATTTTGCACTAGATCTTGTAAGTTAATTGATTAATACATCCAATACCTTAATTGATATTAAAGTTTAAATTATGATAATATTGTATAAATATCTCTCTTTTCTTTACCCTAAATTGTAACCGTTCATAAAAAAAAA